TTCAGAGATATATTGCACGAAAAAGAAAATTAAGAGAAGAAGGAATATTAAATATATCATGAAATACACTTTAAATCTAATTTAATTTTACAATATCAATTTATATAATTTATAAGATAAGATTTGTATATATTTATATTTTTTAAATTGAAGTAAGATCTCCAGCAGCATGTTATATATAGACAACAAAATAATATGTAAACATCTATAAAGGATGGTTTTAATTAGTTGGTCAATAATGATTTCAAATCTATTGATCAATCTGGATTCGAGTTAAGGTAGTTGAAAAAGAAAATAATTTTTGAATGTTAGTTAAATTAAACTCAATTTTTTTAATTCAAAAGTTAAAAAGAAATACGTTTGACACCTTGTCTTTTAAAAATAAAATTTTTAAAATATCATTACATATATTACTATTTTTAATTATGCATGTTCATATTTTGATATTCTTAAAAACAAATTGTTATTTAATAATATTTGAATGATTTAACTTAATTTATTTATTTATCTAATTGTATAAGTTATTATTTTAATTTTTAATTACTATATTTTTATAATATATTAATGTTCATTGAAATTGTTGCATTCCTATAAACATTTATTTTAGTCAATGTACTTAGATCCTCCTCTAATAAAAGTATGAAAGAAGTTAGTTCAAACAATAGAATATATTCAAATGAGGCATCCCTCTTAATCCAACCTGACATTTGACACAGGTTGAAAATCCTAATTTTCATAATTTCTATTGGTTTCTTGATGTTAAAAAATAATTATGACAGTGATTAATCAGATCCAAACTTGATTATGACAGTGATTGGCACAGCCTTCGCGTTGAACATACTTTTCCACATCCCTGTATGGGCAGGAGTTCTCATAACTGGCTGCAGCACCCTCTTATTTCTTGGTCTGCAGAGATTTGGGGTAATTTTGCTTCTCTTTGTTGTTGTTGTAATAATTAAGAATCATTATCCTAACTCATTAAGATACAAAAATGTCATGATATTGGTTAATTTTCTTCGATCATACATATACTTTCAATTACAATTTCGTAAGTGTTACTGTGTGCGCAGGTAAGGAAGTTGGAACTGCTGATATCAGTGCTAGTTTTTGTAATGGCTGGATGTTTCTTTGGGGAAATGAGCTACGTAAAACCACCTGCTTCTGGTGTATTGAAAGGAATGTTTGTGCCAAAACTCAGTGGTCAGGGAGCTACAGGGGATGCTATTGCTCTTTTGGGTGCCCTTGTCATGCCGTACACTTCCTCTTTTCCTTCTACTTAATTACTACTTTTTTTCATTTTCTCCCATAAACACCACTTAAGGATGAATGAATCTGTTGGAATTTTCTTTACTATGATAAACTGGGAAAATTAATCATATATAAGGTATAACGATAGCATGTTTTAATTTTGCTATAGTTGATTAGCATAATGCACCCAACCAAGCTAAGTTTATAAACTGATATCTTCAAGGATTCACTGCCTAAAGTTTAGCCGTTGACAAAATGCAGGCACAACCTTTTCCTCCACTCTGCTCTGGTCCTGTCTAGAAAAGTACCCAGTTCCGTGCGTGGCATCAATGTAAGGCACTCTGAAAATAAAGAAAGCTTTTAATAAGTGACAAACTTTAAAACAAGCTCAATATGACATATTTGCTTGATTGCACAGGATGCATGTAGATACTTTCTCATAGAAAGTGGCTTTGCATTGTTTGTGGCATTCCTAATCAATGTTGCAATGGTTTCTGTGTCGGGAACTGTTTGCGCTGCTGACAATCTTTCTGCAGAAAGTGCTGATAAGTGCAGCGATCTTACCCTTAACTCTGCTTCTTTCCTTCTCAAGGTTGATTACTCAGTTCACTACAGAATTTTCCATAGTGAAATCATGATGTTAAGTTTAATCCTATTTCAGTTCCAATTTATCTGACACGAAAATTTGTTGTCCTTTGTTTGTAGAACGTGTTGGGACGGTCGAGCTCTACCATTTATGCTATAGCACTGCTAGCCTCAGGACAAAGTTCAGCCATCACTGGAACCTATGCAGGGCAATACATCATGCAGGTTACTTAGGAATATCATTGAACACTGTATTTTTTTTATAATTTGATGAAGGGTATGCTCAAGTTGCTGGTTTGATGCAATAGGGTTTCTTGGACATGAGGATGAAAACATGGATCAGAAACTTTATGACTAGATGCATTGCCATAACACCTAGTCTTATTGTTTCAATCATTGGGGGTTCTCAAGGAGCTGGTCGGCTCATCATCATTGCATCGGTTTGTATATTCTACAACTTGTTTTTCTTTTCTTTGTTTGCATGAGTCCTGCTAGTAAATGTTCTAAGAGCATTGATTAACTCAACATTGATACATTTAGATATTTAAATTTTAAAAATAAATATATATAATCTTCTTAGATTAATGTTTGAGTCGATTACACCATCTAATATATTCTAACTCAAATATAAGCTTAAAACATGGTTTATAACTCAGTTTAAAAGAATTATATATATTTATTTTTAAATTTTAAAGATTAAAATATATCAAAATTTGAGATAAAAATAAATTTTAATTTCACTTCAAGACTAAAAGTAGATTTAAATCTATTGAAAATCACAATAAACTGCATTCTAAATTGTTTTGCAGATGATACTTTCATTTGAGCTTCCATTCGCTTTGATTCCTCTGCTTAAGTTCAGCAGCAGCAGTACAAAGATGGGACCTCACAAGAATTCTATAATTGTGAGTTATATTCTTCCCCTAAAAGAATGATAGATTTGTATCCATTGTATATAGCAGTATCCACTAACCATTATGTCTTGGAGCAAGATTGAAGTGACATAATTTTGGTGCAGATAATTGTGATCTCATGGATTCTGGGCATGGGAATCATTGGCATCAATGTGTACTACCTTTCTACTGCGTTCGTGGGTTGGTTAATTCATAGCAGTCTACCAAAGGTGGTAAATGTGTTGATTGGGATCGTAGTGTTTCCTCTAATGGCACTTTATGTTGGCTCAGTAATATACCTAACATTCAGAAAAGACACTGTTAAGACATATATTGAGACAAAGAATGAAGCAGCAATAGAAAAGGGGTTTATGGTTGATGGTCAATTAGAGTTGAATGAAATTCCTTACAGAGAAGACTTGGCTGATATCCCCTTACCACCATAAGGGAATAAAATGCATCACCATCACCATCACCAAAAGGGCTTTTTATCTATAACTGTTCATGTGTTTCTAGTTTTTACCACAGTTCTGTAAGCTTTGTGGTTTTTATGTTATAGGAAAGGCAATTTATATGAAAAAAACTATGCGTTGTATACAATCCTGTGATCAAGTGGTGTTCAAATTTTAGATAATAAACCCCCCAAAGGAAGTAGCTTTTCCATTTTCTTCCACTTTGTAAAAGCCATGACTCAAGGTCAGATCTTACCTTTGTGTATTTGTTGTAGAGAAGACTGTTATGGGTTTCATGAGATAAGTTAAGTTCGGAGAGGAGATATTTAAAACGCAAGACAATAAATCTATAAATTTAGAGTATTTTTGTTTTTATACTTTTAACATTTTTCATCCTATTATGTTTTCTTTTGGAGAAAAAAGGGGTTCAACCGGACTGGAAGGAGGATGAGTAGGAGAGATATAAGAGAGTATAAATATAGATATATATATATATATATATAACATATAAAATATAATATAATGATAATAATAAATTAATTTATTTTCCTCTTGAAAACTTTTATACGGTTGCCAAAAATAATAATGCATGAATCGCATAATAATTTTTTTAATTTCAATATTTTTATATAAAGCGGTGTTCTATCTCCTTTAAGAATTTTTTTAAAACTTGTTAAAATATGCGAGTTAAATATTATATTTAAATTACAGAACTTCAAGATTGTTTTATATAAGTACACGCGACATGGTGACATTAAATCTACCGCCATCAAATTAAAGATGAAACATAGTCTCTTTGTATTAATTAAGTATAAAAAGTTAAATATTTAAATTGTTTAATTTTAACAATTCCGTATTCGATATAATATTTATTAATTTAATATTATATATTAATATTCTCAAGCAGAAAACTATACTCACAATGCGCAATCAATGAAAAACAACAAAATTAAACACACAAGTTATGAAGTATATAATTAAAATATATTTGACGACAAAGTTAAAATATATTTATTTCTACAAATATATTATTACAATTTAAAGATATTCTTTATGCTCCTTTATAATGGTCTTTTAAGGTTTATTTGCCTAAGCCAAGTAAAAAAACTACTTTTTTCTATTTTGAATGCAATTTTAAGAGATTTACTTTACTTATTATTTCTTTTTCAGTTTTTTATTTCAATATATATTTATGTATCATTATTACAGAATAATTTTTCTCTTTTCATATTAATTAAATTAAGATTGTTATTGGAAAAATATCATATATCCTGAAATTTAAAGAAGACGAGAGCTGAAAACTACTAAATAATTGCACCACTATTTATAGCAATTGTCAGCATAAAATTGTAAATGACCAAATTTTCAATATCTTTCTGCTCGTGGGTGGAATGAATAAAATCATCATTCCCCTCCTTTCTATCAGCATCAATATATATAGAACCAAACAACTTTTATCCTCATTCTCATTTATTCAAAAATAGTAAATAAAAGAATACAAATACTGATAATATTATATAATAATTTTACTAACATCAATTTACCTTAGTTCAATCACTGAAACTTGATTCAGTGTTTCAGATAACTGTCCAATTTTAAAACAGATATTACCAAATTTATAGAAGAATAAACATTTGAATTTCTCTCAATCCCGGTGTTTTGTACTTAATTAAAAAAAACAATTCAAATCAGTATCCTTTTATTTCTACCATTTTAACAATGACATGTAATTTAATGACATTTAATGGGGAGGCAATTAAACGTTTTTAATTTGAAAACATGAAACCAATATGAAGATTGTGATCTTAAAAATCTACTTTTCCTCTCCCGTTTCCTACTCCGGTCATTAGTTCAACATTGTCTCTCTACACTTATAGTATCTGCAATATATATAATAATAAATATTATATATTTTAAAACTTGACATTAAAATCCAATCACTTTTTCTTTTTTGTAGAATGCCCACTTGGTAGAAATCCAATCACTTGATATTTTTTCATCAGCAATTTCTTACCACATGCTATTGTCCGTCACAGCAGAAACAATGCCTTTCAACGTCTCCTGCATATTGATTGAAATATGTATGGTTATTTATTTGTTGATTCTTTTCCTTTTTGCGTGAGGAAGAGCAAAGTAGTAAAACATACCACCGAATGGTCTTTAAGACCAAGCGAGAGGACCAATGGCCTGGAGGAGCCAGACAAACTGCAAATCAAGAATTGGAGAGTCAACATGATTTCCGAAATCAAATTATTCCATTATACATGAACAATAAAAGGCTCATATATTAACAATTTGAAATATCTCTTTTAAGATATATGAAACCCAGATTAATTTTTGAGGAAAAGTGGAACAGTTCAGATGCGTAATAAAATCTAAAAAAGTTCGAGATTTTCTGGAACCAAAGAATACCTACCTCATTTGCTCAATCAGCTGACGTGCACATGCTACTAACATTGGCTGCATCAATACATTCCGTGAATAAGAAGCACAATATGACAGAAAAGATCAAGGATAACAAATACTTTCCGACATAGGTAAGCATACCTCATCCCGTTTGCCAAATATAACAGAAACGTTGAATGTTGGATTGATGGACACCCCTTCTTCCTTTCTGGCGTTGAAAAGTCATATATGCAACTGTGTGAGCAATCCTTTCTTATTGAAACATATCATTGATTTGAATGTACATGATGATACATAATTTTAAGCTGACAAATAAACAAGGATTTATCTAAAGTCCTAGTTCTTTTAACAACTTTAGTTTGTTAGTTGTCAAAAGGGGTGTCCAATGAGTTGGAGATCTTTGTGATTCAATAAACCATTACACGGTAGTTTCTTCTCTTTCTCTCTTCTTTATCTCTTAATTTTTTTCCTAAGATTTAAGAACTTTATCTTGGGTTTATAACAAGATAGGTCTGACGATATGATTCATGTTGAGGAGACCCAAGAAGGTATGAATTCAATCTATGAAGAGGAACAATACCATAACAAACAAGGCTATGACAAGCCCAATAGAAAGAAGAAAAAGCCCATTAGGATGGGAGATTATGTTACTTATGAAGATAAGCGTAAAGATAAAACGGGTAGCAAATAGGAAACACCGATCTATGCAAATTTGTCTTTTTGTTAGGCACCAGAAACTATATCTATAATAGATCTTCTTTTACAAAGGAGAGGAATCAAAGATTTTATCTCTTCTGATTCTCTTCCATCTCTATTCTGTTGTGTTTCTTCCTCTACTCCCTTTTATTTTCCAACTGCTGCAGGTGATTAATCAATCAAGCACATCATTTGGTGCTTTCATTGAGTGCATTTGCAACTTTACTGAAAACCACAGCTTAGTACTGAATGTCATTGTTATAGCCCAAGAGTTTTGAGAGGTAGTATTGTTGCTCTAGAGTTTGGATCACTTGTGTAATTAATTCTCATAAGCTTCAGCCTTCTGTGGAGATGGTGTGATCTGCAAGAGCTGCAGCTACCCTCTCTCTCTCTCTGTTGATAACCAACCTAAAGTGGTACCTACAGCAGTAGTGGCTTCCAAAGCTGAAGGTAACCCACCAAGAGAGTATGTTTTGGTTCAGTGGCAAGATCTCTTTCCTGAAGACTCACCTGAGAGCTTTTTGGTAGAGTTATCAACTTGACCTAAGGTTCATGAGTCAGTCCTAACCCATCCTTGAAAAACCCCTTTTAGGAGACCCTTTCAAGTGGGGGCTAAAAAAAAGCCTTAGCCCCAAAGCCCCTCCCAAGTAGGTTAGGATCATGTTAAGATGAGTTTGACTCTCTTAGAAATAATATCATTTATATATACATATAAAATTATATATTTTATTAGATAGTCTATGTTGTAATTTTATTATATTTAAATCAATATTTTTATATCATACTTATTAGTATGTTATTAAATAAAAAATATATAATATATAATTTAATATAGTTATTGACTATAATCTATTTATTAATTTTATCAATTTCTTAAAGAAGAAATAGCATTTAATAAAGCATTACATTTTGATAAAGTTCCAAACACAACAAAAGAAACATGAAGTCCAACTAAAATGTGAGAATATTGGATTAATTCTAATAAAATTCACACTAAAGTTTTTTTATAATTACTAAATGTATATTTATTATATATATATATATATATATATATATATATATGTGTGTGTGTGTGTGTGTGTGTGTGTGTGTGTGTGTGTGTATTGATTATTAAAGAGAAATAAATAATTGGTAGAATTTAAGTCATAAATTAAAAAAAAAGAAAAAATAAACAACATATAATAAAAAAAATCTATAAACTTATTATTCATAAATTCATCCTTTTAAATTTTCAAATTGAGATGTCTTATTTAGTTTTGATTCCTATCTAAATGAATTTTTCGCACAACAAAATTAAATGATTATCTACTTTAAAAATATGTTTAGCTTGTGAAGGAAAATTAAATATATTTAGCTAGTCAAGGATTTCACTGTCTTATGTTGTTGTGTAATTTTCTTATATAAGCAAGCAACCAATTTTATTGAAACCTCTTACAAAATTTACGTTAGTATGATTAAAATGTTTGTACATAGTTCTTTGACAAATTAAAAACACTCATATTTGTGATAGACTAGGAGTTAATTGCATTTTTTTTTATTCAAAATGAATATTTTTTCTAAAAAGAAGGCTAATAAGTTGATCTTGGCCCACCGGGCTTTTGCGGGTATTTTGGCCCCGTTAGCTTTTTCAGTGGGGGACTTTTTGGCCTTATGAGTTTTTTCGGCTTTAGCCCATGTGGGTTAAGGCCAAACCATGTGAGGGAAGCTAAATTGACAGATCTACTTTTGGGTGACTTGTTGCAAGATTATCCCCATTTACACCTCACAGACAATGTATTTGTCCACCTGAAAGGGGATGAAATTATTTATGATGAAGAGATCCAAGAAGGAATGGATTCAATCCATAAAGGAGAGGAACAATACCATAACAAACAAGGCTATGAGAAGCCCAATAGAAAGAATAAAAAGCCCATTTGGATGGGAGATTATGCTACTTATGAGGATAAACGTAAGGATAAAATGGATAGCAAATAGGGAGCAGTGATGTATGCAAATTTGTCTTTTTCCTTATTGTTGGTTAGCCGCAACAAACTACATCTAATAGATCTCATTTCGCATAGGAGGAGAGGAATGAAAGATTTTATCTCTCTCTTCTGATTCTCTTCCCTCTCTATTCTGATGTGTTTCTTCCCCTACTCCCTGTATCTTCCTACTGCTGCAGGAGATTAATCATAGTGAAGCAAATCATCTGACCTACCAGAACATGAACCTGAGGACAGAGGCTTTGGAAAATCTTATGGACAACCCAGCGAAAATGGGTTCCAATCACATTCTCTATGTTGGGAGACTTGGAAGTCTGAATGGCAGCAGAATGAATATTGGACGAGGAGAAGGTTGATGAACAACTGACTCCTAAGACACCAAACTTGTGGCTGAATAAAAGGATAAAGCTGAGAGAAAAATTAAATTGACCAATCTCAATGGCGGGCAACCTTATGATTTGGATTGCTAGTACAGAGAAATTTTTTGAGGTGTGACAGCAGAAGCCAAAAGAGTAGGGGTAGGTTGCATTTAGAGGCAAGGATCGGGAGTGCATTGATTTGGGGAAGGACATTTTAGCTGCATGTATGAAAGGCAACCAACTTAGCAATAATGAAGAAATGCCAATGATATATCTACAAAGATTTCAAAATATTTCTGGTGCTGATATTGGATGTCCAGAAGGAAAAACAGATATATTTCCTGGGAGGATGAATGTGCACAAATGCAATGCCAAGTATGAACACAATCTTAATAATACTACAAAGTCCATACATCTAGCCTAAGATATCAAAGAGAAGTTGTGTGCCACCAAATCTCAATACAATGTTTTGATCATTGTTGTCAAAACTGGACCAGACCAGCTGGTTCATCGAGTTGAGCTGGGAACCAGACCAGGCTCCAGTCCAAAGTTTCCTAAAAACTGAATTTCTTTTTAACCAAGATAAAACTGGTTGAACAGGCCAAAAACCAGAAAAAATAGGGAAAACCAGCAAGTTGAGAGATTCAAACAGTTGGCTCTAAAAACATGTTTTTTGTTGTATTTGTTTTTTCTTAAGAGACTTGCAGTTTCTAATGTATTTTATGTTATTTTTCAAAATTAAATATGATGTATTAGATTTGTTTACTCTCATATATAACTTACTTTTATAATATGTTATGTCTTACGAAACTTTTAAGTGAAGTTCAAATTAAAATTTTATAAATTTATTTACGTCATCCGTTATAATTAATACTACTTTATATATAGTACTATTATATTTAAAATATTATAACTAATATTTACTATACTGGACTCTATCCCAGTTGAACCTCGGTTGAAACTCTGAATTTAAACTCATGCCTTCACCAGTTCAGTGACTGGTCAGGTTTGGACAACCTTGGTTTTGATTTCAAATCTTTAACATAACTCAAGTGAAAGAGGAATTACAACTCAAACTGGGATCCATTAGGGAAGCTATAGTGGCTTACCAAGCCTGATTCAAGGAATGAATTCTCACGCCTTTTCAAGAATACTACTGTCCCAATCAATCAATCATTCAGAAAAAGACTGTGTGGAGGAAATACAGCAGCAGCACACTCAACTACGAAGTCTTATACTATTAGTGCTTAATTACGAATGAAGAAGAAGCAATGAGGGCAACCGTTTTCACTTTCAGGTCATCCATTTAGCTGAAGACACAGATGTCCAAAAAAAGTATCATGGTTACTATTTTGGCAGTTGATGAAAAATTGGAGGAAGACAAGTGATTGAAAAGACCAATTCTCAGGAAGGAGAAACTCTGTGCGAAGGTGCACCAATTGTATTTACATGTTAGATACTCAAATTATCTGTCTTTTCAGCAGGGGAAATTACACAACTGAGAACTATAAAGCATCATCAAATCATGATAGATAGCGGGGCAAGTCATACTTCATTGCTTGGGAGTTAGTAAAGTAATTGGGATAAAATGTATTCACGACAACTTCATTAAGAGTAGATTATGGGATGGACACAAAAAATTTCCCCCGAGGATGCTGTCAAAAATTTAAGTTATTGGTTTCTTTAAGTGATCCTGAAGGAGATTGACTTGTCTAGGTTGGGAGGAGTGGATCGAACTTTTAGGGGTGGCATAGTTAGAAGCCACAGGTTCAAAAAAGTAAATTAGAGATCTCTACATGTCTATTGCGCATCAGGGGATGGCTTTTCTAATCAAAGGTGACCTGAGTGACTGAGTCTAACAAAGGCAATGATATCTCATAAACCTCTATATAACAAGGTCTTGATGTGGAATTCTCTTTAGTATCAGTAGTAATATTTATTCTCAGTATTAGTTGCTTACGATTTTACTGGTCAAGAAATATAAATAAAATCAATGATATTTCACAGAAGTCACATGCAGACCTGGCATACACTATTGTCCCCATGGTTCCTATTTGGGTAGCAATAACCTGATAAGCAGCCAGAAAAGTAAGCACAATCACCATAAAAACATAGAAAACAACTCCATCAGCACTCACCAGAAAATGATCTTCGTATCTCGAAATAATAATCTCCGTTTCATTCCCCTGCAAGCAAGCAAGTAACTTCTCAACATAAGTCCAACATTTCAGCATTAGTATTAATTATCAACATTAAAAAATATATATTAAACAGCTAAATTTGAACCCCTAACATTGGCTTGGGGAATTTAGAACATGAAATGAATATTTGTGTTTAAAATTTCATTCCATCTTCTATAATTATAAAATCAAAGGAAAGGAGTTAAAAATTAGTTGCTGGCTACTAAGAGCTGCAGGAAACGGACACTCGCGCATGCATACATTGATTTCCCGAGAGAAATTGAGTTGAGACACTGGAAATTGAGAAGTGGAGCTTTCCATATTCATTGACATCGGCGCTGATAGGTCAAACTCACACTGATCAAAAGAGTCTCACAGTCGTTGCCGTTATTTCAAAGAACTACTTTAGAGAATCGGTTTCAAAGGAGAGGAAGATGAGATCGCCGCCTGTAATGCCGGAGCGGAGAGGCGAGGTTTTTGTTGTTCCTGTTGAGAGAGAAGAAATGGGAGAAAATGTGCAACTTCAGTCTTACTCTTTGCTACCAACTTTGGGCCTATTTTAAAAATTAAAATTAAAGGTCAAAATTTATAAACCCCACCAAATATATTTTAATTTATAGTTTGTGAGCCAGAGTAAAAATGTGTTTTTTTTTAATGGATACACTTGTGATTAATATTCATTCTAAAATTTAAATATTCATTTCTTCTTTTACGACGTTTTTAAAAATAAAACCGGAATTCTAGATTTATAAAATATACTATTAAAACCAATAAATATTTTAAAGTATTATTTAATACATAATCGATTATGGGATACTGCTAATTAATTATGAATTTTTTCATTATTTTATACTAATAATAGTAATAATAAATAAAATTATACTAATAATCTATAACTATATATAAAAAAA